CTGAGCCACCCAGGCGCCCTTTTTTTTTTTTTTAAAGATTTTATTTATTTATATTATTTTCTTTTTTTTTTTTTTTTTTAAAGATTTTATTTATTTATATTATTTTCTTTTCTTAGAAAAAGACAGAATTTGTCATTTCTTAAAAAAAGATTTTATTTTTTTGAGAGAGAGCACATGTGAGAGAGAGAGAGAGCATGAGCCAGGGTGAGGGACAGAGGGAGAAGCAGACTCCCCGCTGAGCAGGGAGCCTGATGTGGGGCTCGATCCTGGGACCCCCGGGATCATGACCTGAGCCGAAGACCGATGCCTAACCGACTGAACCACCCAGGCGCCCCTAGAATTTGTCATTTTAAGAATTATTAATAAAGTAGTACTGACAACTGTGTAATTTAAATGTTACTCTTTTAATGTTAAAACTTTTCATTTGTAAACTTAGTTGCATTGTTTATATATTTACTGAAATATGGTGACTTAAGTGATTGCCATTCACCAAAATATTTTGGGTACCTACCATGTGCCGGAGCCTGTGTTAGAGGCACATTCACTAAAAGGAATAAGGCCAGGGGCGCCTGGGTGGCTCAGTGGGTTAACTGTCTGCCTTCGGCTCAGGTCATGATCCCAGGGTCCTGGGATCCAGCCCCTGCATTGGGCTCCCTGCTCAGTGAAGAGCCTGCTTCTGACTCTCCCTCTGCCCTCCTCCTCCCTGCTCCTGCGCTCTCTCCTCCTCCCTGCTCCTGCGCTCTCTCCTGCGCTCTCTCATGGACTCTTTCGCTCTCAAATAAATAAAATCTTAAAAAAATAAGACCCACACCCTTCCCTCCATTCAAAAGGACCATTATGTAAGCAGATGAGGGCAATGAAGTGAAGCATGTGCCTCAGGGGGCAGGGACCAGGCATGGCCCTGAATCTTTGGCATCCAGCAGAGTGCCGGGCAAGGGGTTGATGCTCCTGAAGTACTTGTTAAATGAGTGTGTTGGGTGGAGCTAGAAGAGGACTAGCCAGCCTAGTCCTAGGTGCAGTGGGAGGGAACATTCTCATTAGGGTGGGATGATCAGAAAAGGTTTCAGGGAATGATAATCTTTGGCACAACAGTGTAGAGACTTCCTATTTAAAAGTGATTTTTAGGGGCTCCTGGGTGGCTCAGAGGGTTAATAAGCATCTGCCTTCAGCTCAGGTCATGATCCCACGGTCCTGGGATCGAGCTCCCGCATCGGGCTCCCTGCTCAGCGGGGAGTCTGCTTCTCCCTCTGCCTGCCGCTCCCCCACTGTTTGTGCTCTCTCTCTCTCTCAGAAATTAATAAATAAAATCTAAAAAAAAAGTGATTTTTAAAAACTTCCTTTTCTGTATCAATTGGGATTTTTAGGACTTGTACTCTGTAAGGAGTTTCTGAAGTAATAAGGAACTTCTCAGGAGGTCTCGTTTTTCCGTGTCCTGTTATATGAACACCAACACCATAGTTAGGTTTTTCTTTAGTTCTAAATATTTAGCAGGCAGTTGATTCCCGCAATGGCAGTAATAAAATTCATGTTCTCAGTGTCTCCGAAGCATAAAGATGTGACTTTGATATAGAGAAATGCAGTTTGTGGCAGAGTGTTGGTAGTTCTGTAATATTATTTTCTCTTTTTATCTTTCTATTTTTCCTGAGGTCATTCATTGCCTTTCTTTGAATATTTCCTTTAACAAATTTTTTTTTTTTTCTATTTATAGCAGTCCCCACAGTTCACCTTCTCACACTCCCACAAGGCATGGACGTAACATGGTATGTGGGGGAAAAGGAAGAAACCATGACTTTTTAATGGAAATACAGTTAAGCAAGGTAAGATGGCATTTTGAAAGGAAAAAGCCACTGAAGTAGGAGCATTAATTGGGGTTCTTTGGTTGCTCCCCAGCCTTGTGGTCTTGAGCCATAAGTGCCAGCCCTTTGGATTGGAAAAATGCAGGGGTCTTGTAAAACTTCTAACTTTTTCTTTCTCAAATGTTCCGAGAAGTTTGAGGGGTTTTGTTTTGTTTTTGTTTTCCCAGGCTGTCCCTAGAGGAGTGTCTCTCAGAGTTGAGCAAGCATCAGAATCCCCTCGAGGGCTTGTTAAAACACAAGTTGCTGGGCCCCAGAGTTTCTGAATCAGTATGAGGTGGGGCCCATGAATTTGCATTTTTAATGAGTTCCCAGGTGATTCTGATACTACCTTTCCCAGGACCACACTTGGGGAACCACTGCCCTGGAGGATCTATCTGGGAGGGCTGCCGTTGGATAGGACCTGTGTCAGGTCCTTCATGAATGTCTAGAGACCAGTATGTCCAGGTCGCCAATGACATCATATGCATTCAGTTCTTTCAGCTTGTCTGGGATTGTGCCAAGTGTCTTATATTAGGGTACTTAACATGGAAGTATCGTAGTGATGAAGATCCCATGCATTTCATTGTATCCTTGCCCCTCCCCCCCCCCTTTGGAACTTGAACATTGCCTCCACTGATTCTTTTTCAGGCAGTTTCATAGGTATGCAAGACGATAACTTTGTGCATTATTCTTACAGAGGGTTTTGCTTGAAAAGGATAGGGATTTTGCCAAGATCAAGTAAGAGATATTCGTTGAGCTTATGCTTGTGTGGTGAGGCACATGTAGATCAATAAAGTGAACAAATGAAGGACTGTTGTTCTCTGAAACAACAAGTGATGGGTGATATTTTGCATTTTAAAGAAGAAATCTAATTTAAATAAAAAGTAAAAATGGTTGTGTGTTCCCTCTTCTCTGTGAAGGTGAAGTTTCAGCACGAGGTCTACCCGCCTTGCAAGCCGGAGTGTGACTCCGGCCTCTTAGAGCACCCAGTCTCCCGGCAGGTGTTTGTCGTGCAGGATCTTGAAATTCGAGATCGTCTGGCAACATCACAAATGAATAAGTTTTTGTACCTGTATTGCAGTAAAGAAATGCCTCGAAAAGCTCATTCCAACATGGTAAGATTTAAGACCTCATATGTTCTGTTATGTATTTGTTTTGGAAAAGTGTGTTTGTTGTATCTAACTGCAGAAGATTGAGATTGGGGAAAATTGAAGGTTTTTTTTTTTTTTTTTTTTAAA